ATTTGATGAATTCCATAAACTCCTTTATTTTTTCTTGAACTACAACGATCGTAATTTGCTATTCAAACTGTCCAGTTGTCTAGCCTCCAATGGTGATCCACACAGAGAACAAGAATGACGGCTATAGTTTTCTTTTCTTGTGTCGGCAAGAATAATAATAATAATTTTTTTGTACAGTTTTCAAACCCTAGAAGCCTATTAATATAAGTCCAAGCGGGCTGGCCCACCTGTTAAACTTAACCCAGCCCAACATTTAATTAATCCAATTAATTAATTCGGGTATATTAATAAGCAACCCAATTAATTAATTATCTAATACTTGTCAATTAATTAATTGGTAAATTTCATTCTTCTAGTTCTCTTTTGTGTGTGACCCATTAAATTCCCGATCACGATACCTAACGAAGTGAAATATTATTTTAATCTAATCAAAATTGACAAATTAAAATAGCTTCTTTTAATTTATCACCAATTCACATACGTCGTCCCAAATTAACATCTAGTAACGTGTCAAATCAATACATGTGAAGGGAAATGTCACATGTCGTGACAAAACAAAACTCGTTCATTTACCGTGAAAGTACAATCCTTTCGTCAATATGATCCAATTGATTACGAGATATGGATATGTGTCCATCTCAATTATCGATCATATCTTTTATCCCACAGTTAAGTCAATATAAATCGAAAACTCCTTTTCGACTTATGATTTCACTTTGGTTAAGGATTTCATTATCAATTTAACTGGATAAAATGTAGATCGTAATCTCTTACTATCTAAGAGTGACTAATCATATATTGATCATTCACAACCTTCATATGATTCTTGACATACCCGAAAGATGTTGTATTAGCGACTCTTGACAGAGCAACATCTAATATCACCAAAGTATGACTGTCCTCATATAAGATACTATGATGACATCAAGCCAAAGAACCAATTCTACTACCAAACATTAGAGATTAACGACCGACACTCAAATAGTTATCCATGTGGAATCTCTCAGCGGGTCTCCAACGTTTTGTTTTATAACAAAGCATCCACGTGTTCATTCAAGTGTTACTACACTTTAACTTGTGAGATCAGCTACTTACTTCTCAAGTAAGAAATGCCACACGTGATGGTCTATCCGTAATAACGATATTCGTATTTCGTTACTACTTACGACCACGGATAATTTAAGATTCAGTTATATTATAATTTGTATCTCACAATCACAACTCCTTGTGATTAACAAATTGTAAAGACTTAAATCTACGGA